TCTCTCTCTCTCTCTCTCTCTCTCTCTCTCTCTCTCTCTCTCTCTCTCTCTCTCTCTCTCTCTCTCTCTCTCTCTCTCTCTCTCTCTTTTGGTAGAGCAGGTTCCCTGACCAGCACAACTCAAACCTGGCAAATCAGGTCTTATGGTACCGGTGGCTGTGCGTTGTGTTGTGGCCAGTGTTCTTGACCATTCTGCGAGCTGGTGAGTGAGCTCCTGCACTGGATAGAGCCTGCAGGGTTGGAAGGAGTACAGATTGTAAGGCATTGTGATGAGAGTACAGTGGTGCTTGCCATTGCTTGAGGCATACTGGCATGGTATTGTCAGTGGTTTCTGAGCATGACTGTCATCGAATGCGGCATAAAAAGTTGGTGAGATAATCTGTGGCTGGGGACAGCATTAGCAAGTAAGTGTCCCTGACTTCATCTACCTCCATTTTTCTTCGTACCATGTGGATGAGCATTCACTTGACTGTCCTGTTATTGAGAGTTGTGAGTGCGCACTACCTAAAGAGTCAACCCTCCCCTGGTGCAACTGATGAGAGAAGGGCGGTGCATGGGAAGTGTCCAGGGTGGATGAAACACATGGCGCGGGACTAGACCACACATGCATGCGCAGGCATAGAAGCTTCAGCATGCGCTATAGGGGCGTATGGGGGTGGATTCCAAATAATACTCAACAGCATTCTCTTGTCAATTACAACATTGTCATGTTTTCTTTTTGTTAGCTTATGCTGTTGTTATTCCATCAGCTGTAGGACAGACATTGTTCTGCCCTGGTAGGCCATGTAAGAACTGCTTCATAATCTACCTAGACTAGTCTTTTGCTTTGTCTTTTGAAAGAGCTAAATTAGGTAGCACGGTATTTCCCAGGACTTGGATGTTATGTACAGCAATCCGGTGAAACTAGCTTAGAAGTCTTGGGTTCACATTGACCTCACACACCCAATCAACTACTGAAGAGTAGACGGTAGGAACAGGCTATCCTGCGCTGACAGCAGTTGGGTTCTGTGTTTTAAGAGGCTGACGATAGAAGAGTGTTAAGGAGTCATACTGCTATAAGACCTGAGGTGTTCCAAAGCCTCCCTGAACGTGAGGAGAGACAGATTAGAGAAGAGACTGCAGCAGGTAGGTCAGCAATAGCATCACTCTCAAGTAGTCAGATGGATATGCGGAGCATAAGCAGTCAGTCTGGCCCAAGCCAACTGGCAGGGGTACTTGAGCCCAAGTCAGCAGCTGTATTTTCATAGGCAAAGAGCAGAAGAAGAGCTTAGGCTAGCAAGACAGGAAGAACAAGAACCTGAAAACAGGCACACCACGCAGGGTTGGCCGGAGAACTGCAGAAGAGGGAATGCTTGCCCCAAGAACTTTAGATCGCAAACACAAGGCTGTGATCACAGTGATCCTAGCCCTTACCCACCAGATGGGGTCTACAAACATCAAGTTAGATCAGAGCTGGCACGGGCAGTTGTGCCAGCATCTACAGTGGCTACACCACGGCCACTTACTCCTCCATTGAAACTGTTACCTCATTCGGTCAGCTCCGGCCCATTGGTGACTACTTTGGAGAAGCCGGAATCCTTTACCGGGAACGAAAAGAATGAAAGCTAAGACACTCGGTTGAGAACAGTCCAATTCTACATTAGGATGAAAGACACATAGAAGGATAGGGAAGTTCGTCGCAGCTACATTCCTAGAAGGCCCCGTAGCGGATTGGCTGAACGGAGTGGTAGCTACAAATGGATATGGGAGGGACTTTGAGGCTTGGGACAAATACCAAGGCATTAGACGGGTTTATGGAACAGCACAGCATCCCAAGAGGCCGCAGACAAGCTTTGGGTGCTGGAGACTCGTAAGTATAGGATTGTCCAAACAGTCACTGAAAGTAGAATGCCTCATCAAGGGCCAGCAGCCTAGCTCAGTTGGTTTCGCATGCAAGTGCCATTCAGAAGTCATGGGTTCAATTCCCACGGCCGCCTGCGGCATGCTTGGTGTTCATCAGCTGAGATAGTTGGCTTGGCCCCCCTGGTCGGACCTTGGTAGGGTCCTGGGTTCTCTCCGAGGTCTTCGCCCCTGCCATTCCTCGCTGGTGGTTAGCGCTCAGGTTTGCATTCCTTCCAGTGCTTAGACATGTGGCCCCCATTCTTGTGCTTCGACATGTAGGCAGGTAGCATGAGGTATACTTGAGAGAAGAATATAGCTTACTTATTAAAAAAAAAAAAAAAAAAGCTTTATCAAGGGCCTAGGTGTCAGGTATGATATGGAGATAGTACTCCTAACTAGTTACCTACGGTGTCGCTGAAAATATCAGGAACCTGCTATAATTATTGCGCCTCCCTCGGCTCAAAGGCATTCAAGCTGGAGGCCAAGCTGAGGAACGCTCGTGTTTCCATAAGGAGTGCCAGTAGTGCAAGCAGGAAGAAGCTCCCGCAGAACTGGAAGAAGAAAGGCCACCCCCTGTGCGTTGACGAGGGCCAGAAGAACAAGCACAAATCAGTCCCAAGATGAGTAAGGGAATGGTTGTCAAGGAATATGTGGTGCAATAGATATTACAGGGCGAAGCACATGAAGTGTGGTGAGACTATTGAGAAGGTGCACTTCCACGACCGGGTGCACACGCTAAGTAGACCTATCGTATCTACTTTAGCAGACAACGAGACATGCATTAGTGTTGATAACTGCATTCAAGAGGTGATTTTTTTTATTTTTATTTTTTAATTTGGACAATTTCTCGATTTATGTGTGTCATCCTTGCGCAGGGGCCATGCTAATCTTCTCTGTATCGTTCCAATTTTAACGGATGTCCCGAAGGACTTCAAGAGGTGATTTGTACCTTCTCCTTAGACATAAACTGTCTTTTCTGGTTGGCGACGATCTGCCATGTGATATGATTCTGGGCATGTCCTATCTTGAGGCAGCTAAACATCAGATTGAGTGGGACTTCGAAACCCTGCACTTAGTGCATTATCATATCCCGGGTGGTAGGACCGTGCTGCAGATTGAGTGCTACAGGAAAAATCTGAAAAAAGGTATGTACCTAGTATTTGTGTCTCCAAGGGCTAGGCCAGAGAAACCCGATATGAGATAGACAGGATCATCGGCGAGTACCCAGACTCGTTTGAGGAACCTACAACAGTTATAGACAAGGAGATAGTCCATGCCATAGAGGTTGTCCCAGGAAGTGAAGTTCCGAAGGGCAGGATCTATAGGATGTCCCTTGAAGAACTTCATGAGCTTAAAAGAGAAATCAAGGAGCTGACAGACAAGGGTTGGATTAGGCCTAGTACTTTGCCTTATGGGTCTCCTATATTATTTCTACCCAAGAAGGGAGGGACATTGAGGATGTGCATTGACCGTAGGGGCTTCAATGCCATCACCGTGCATAACGCAGAGCCCCTACCTCACATCGGTGACCACTTGGACAGGGTGTATGGATGTAACTACTTCAGCAAGATAAATCTGATACCTCTGAATACAAATAAGACCCGAGTTAATGAGGAGCTGTATTGTCTATCAGTCGTTCAAAGGACAGGTGCAGAGACTGTATGGTTTCTTGGAGCTGCTCACAATCCTGGACAGAGGCATCTGGTTAAACGATTGTGAAACCGGTGAAATTCAGCTTGGAATCATTTACCAAACAGTAGGAGATTGGGACAAATCACCAAGTGGAAAAGGCACTCCCGGACAACCGTCAAGGTGGAGTTCTAATATATTATTTCCTTCACCCATGTCAAGAAGAAAGCTTGATCTGCACAAGGGGAACGGTGTGGTCGACACATAGAGCTTGAAGGCATGGAATACACCATATACAGTGATCAGCGTCTTCCACAACATCTACTACTTCCATGCTCCTCTGTACGCAGGCAGCAATTTCTAAGTACCTCTTGTACGAACTCCTTAGACTTGACCAAGATCACCTAACTATACCGGTCTTCTATGTTTGTTAGTCCGTTCGTCCATTTTCTCCTGGCCACGTCTAACGTTAGAAGTCCATGCTCCTCTGTACGCAGGCCACGTCTAATGTCATAAAGGTCTTTATCATGCTTCAGTGCAATTTCATGGGTCCTGGGTAGCAGTCTTTG